CTGACTGGGTGTTACTGGCTCTTTCCCATTAAAAACGGCACAAGTTAGTTAGAAGGAAAGATGCGGATGCACCACGTCTCACTGGTTCCTGGAGCATCTGTGGTGCGAAGTCCCCCCCGGGGGCCCAGGAGCTCCTGCGCTCCCGTGGCATCAGGGAGGCCTCCGGAGCGGGACTCTAGGGGGGCACAGCTCGGGGCACAGCTGGGGACCTGTTTCTCCCAGGCTCAGCAGGGTTTCTCTGAATGCTGGGGAGGCACATTCCCTAGTTACATCCTCCCTGCCCTCGGGCCAGCGGGCCTCCAGACAGTGGCTCAGAGGGCAAGGCCACCTTCCAGCAGGCTCTCAGATGGCATCTGTGGGGAAGGACAGGACTCTCCAGGCCTGCTCTCTTCACGCTAGGAGAGCTGGCAACGTTGCCTTCTGTGCAAGGTGTCCTTGCTGCGGCTGTGAGGCAGAGAGGGCGCCGTGCGTTCTTGTCAACCTCTGTCCTCCTGTGGACGTGGGACAGTCACAGTTCTGAATGCCTTGTGGTTAGATGGGGCCGCACACTGGAGAGTCGATGAGGGAGGCCCACAGAGGCCAGGCCAGGGGTCTTCCAGGACTGGCCCAGAACCTCCCGCACCACGTCGGGGAGAACGCTGGCCCCTGCCAAGCGGCACTGCAGTGTGGGGTGGGGTCTATGGTTTTAGCAGCTGGCAGCCCTCAGGCCAACTCCTGCCGGTACCACAGGAGCCACCCTGGTGGCCTGGCCTGGCGGCCCCATGGCAGGTTGGAGGGCAGAGGTTCGAGTCTGATACAAGCGTTGCCTCTGACCCCACGTAGGTGGTGGCTGGAACGTCCACGTGGCTCAAGGGGAGAGCTTGGAAAGCAATTTGAAAGTGTGTGCTTATTTTTCTGGGTCCTCTGACGAGATGTTACAAGGAGAAGGAGAGCCCCGCGGTTTCCAGGGAGAGCAAGGACAAAGGGATTAAAGAGTCGGGGAGGCTGACCGGTGGCCGTGGAGAAGGCCCGACATCTAGACGCCCCCGCTGCGCAGAGCGGCCTGCGGGCGCCTCGAGGCGCGTCATTTATTTTTCTTTAAGTGTCTCAGCCTGTAGTAAAAATCCCTCCTGCCAGACCAGGGAAGTCGCCTGAGCTGACAGGCAGACGGGGTCCGTGAACTAGTGGGGACCTCAGGAAGACAGGCGGGGGAGCCGCGTGGCAGGAGGAGCCTGGTGCCTGCCCCTGCTCACTGTGACCTGGACCTGGGCGGGGATGAGCTGAGGTGGCCTCCGGCCCTGGCTGTGGAGGTGGCTTGCGAAGGGCGGCTGTCTTCAGGGAGAGGCCGCTCAGGCGAGGGCAGAGCTGGGAGCTTCCCACACCCTCTGGGCTCCCGGCCAGCGAGGCCTCCCACCCTGTTCTTTAGCTGCACTTGAGCTTCTCTGGTTGTCATTGTCACCATGACTAGGCAGCCTGAGGCATATGGGTGGGGGGCGGCTCAGAGCCATTCCTGGAGCTTGCCCGAGGCTGGCGCCCCACCCCCACCACAGGATGTGGTGGAAGTCCAGGCAGGAAGCCAGCAGGACCAGGAACCATCCGAAATGCCTTCTGTCCCAAGGTGGCACCCAGGGCCCCAGAGTGCTGGGTCTCCAGTGGCGAGAAGGTGCTCTATGAAGAAATCGGGGTTGAAATGCAGGTCACCAAATCCCAGCGCTCGGCTCCATCCCCCGCAGACCCAGACTCCGTGTCCCTTCAGCTGCGTTTGGAGACCTGCAGGCCTAGCCCACTCACTGCCACCTTAAGATGCCACAGGATGGTGTGGCCAGGGCAGCTGATCCCAGCCCTGCAGACCTTCCTCTTCCCAGGGCAGCTGTGCCCTCATGAGAGCTGACCTTGACCTTGGGAGTGCTCTGTCACTCGAGTTTCCTGGGCTTGCAGCCAGGACACAGGAGTCAAGGACAGAGCCACATTAGCAGGCGCAGCCCTCACTGCCCGTCCTATGTCTGGGCACTTGGCCCTGGGCCAGGCGCCATCCTCCCATCACTAAGTGGGCAGAACAGAGAAGCCGTGGGCCTGCACACAGGGGGCCTGCCTCTGTTGACCCTGTGGCCCAGCCTCTTCTGGGGGCTGTGCCCGTGGGGCTCTAAGGAAGCTCTTTACCCTGACTCCCTCGACCCTCTGTTCCCAGCACGGCCTTCTGCTCTACCAGGAGCTGTGCTGTGGCGGCTGGGGGTTGGGCTCATCGCTGGACCACTGGCACCCTGCGGGCCACACAGCTCCCTGGATTGGGCACACGTGTGACTCCAAATTTGAGTGCCCATCAGAGCCACCTGGGGAGACCAAAAATACTGTCATGGGCCCTCCTGGGTCCTGGGAGACCCAACTTTCAGGGGAAATAGCTGGAATCTGATGTTTTAGAAAACTTTCTGGGGATTCCGATGGTGACCATGGTGAGAACCACTGTCAGCATGTCCAGCAGGCAGAGTAATGGCCAGGCCTTCTCCCACCCCCCAGCCACGTGTCCAGGGCCCCTGCTATTCCTCAGAGTCCAGGGAGGAAGATGCACCATGAGAAAGCTCACGTAGGAACAGGTGGCAGTGTTTGTCACCCGACCCTCTGCGGAGCAGACCTTCTGGGAATCGGTGTTTAGAAGTGTAAGAATCTAGTCTAGAAATGCAATGAACCCAACGTCTCTCAGATTCCAAAGCAGGCTATAAAAGCACCAAGATTTACAAGTCCAATCATAAGACTAAGTCAATTAGTTAGCTCCATATTTCAGTCGGACTTATGAGACCTTTTTCATGATAGGCCAAATTCCTTATGCATTATAAGATTATGAAATACCAAGCCCATCTAGACTCCTAAATATAAAAGCTGTGATTCTGTGGCCTTAATGGGATGTTGCTGTCCCTGGGGATATGGGGACCTCTCCCTGCAGTCACTGACTCAGGGACACTGGATGCCAGGGAAAGACGTCGGTGTCACTCCTATCCCTGGATCTGATCATCTCTGTTTCTTTAAAAATGATTCAGACCATTTTAAAAGATGTCCCCGGCAGCTCCTGTGCTGAGGGCTTGGTCGGGGCTGGCTGGATCGGAGGGCTCTGACCCTGGACTCGTCCTGTGTGCAGTCATCCCCGGGGGCTGGAGGGCCTGCTGCAGGTGGCAGCTTGGGGGAAGCAGATCACTTCCTGCTGGGCCGTCCTCTCCCCAGCCCCTGGCTCTCTGCTCCCTGGCTGCCGTGAGCTGGGCAGCTCCCTCCGCTGTGCCCTTCTGCTGAGATGTCTCTGCCCTGGACCAGCCGACCCAGGCCTGACCTCTGAACCCTGAGCCAGGGGAAGCCGCCTCCTCTCGGGAGTTGGGGCTGCAGCCGGGAAAGCCGAGTCACACGGGGTGTCGAGGGGTGCAGCTGCCTCCTTGCGTTGCGTGGAGAAGGTCGAAGGGGTCCCCACAGGCCTTACCCAGTGTCCTCCTGAGTGGCCTTGGGGTTGCTCCAGCTCAGGGCTCCTGTGTGCGCACTCAGTGACACTTCCAGGCCACAGAGGGGATCCGTCTGGGAGCGACGGTGTGTGTCTGCTGCCCTTAACTGCATACCCCGATATTTCCTGACTTAGTGCCTCCACCGTGATGCGACCAGCAGTATAAAGTCCCCGAGTCCCTACACTGGGCACTGAGGGTCTTTCTCACTCAGGGGCTGCGGAGGGAGGAGCAGCACTTGTTTTGGTTATGAGCTGCGTCTACCCAGTAAGTAATCAGGAGGAGGACCTTTTATAGGAATGTTGGCCGCCGGCTTCAGCACAGCTTCTGTTCAGACCTCCTCCCGTCCTGTGCAGGGTGCTGGGGACCCAGGGCCTCCAACGAGGCCTTGCTCTGCCATGGAGGAGCACCCCGCCCTGCTAGGCATGTTTTACTGAGCTTCCAGATATACCTCTGTCTCTCCCCGAGGAGCCAGCCCTCTCCACCCACCCACCATAAGTAGCTCGGCAAGACCTTGGTGGGCTCCTGACCTACAGAACCTCAGGTCACCAGATGCCGCTGTTTTAAGGCACTAACTGCGTGGTGACCCGTGGAAGCTGGGCTGAGAGTCTAGACACAGGCCTGTTGCAGAGGTCCCGTTCCCCGGGCCCTTCCTTTCCTCTCTGAACGTCATTGGTAAGCAGAGTCCTGGACTTGACATGGCCACCCTCCTTCCCCAGCCTTCGCCCTTCCTCAGTCCTACAGAGAAATTTCTCCCTGGCTGAGACAGGGAGACCCCACCCACCATCTCCCAGGACGTCTGCTCAGCTCAACTGAGTTAGGCCCATGGTCCCAGGAGGAGCTGGGCACTGGGCAGGGCAGGCCAGCTCTGGAGATGGCTCCGTCAGCTCCCGGGGGCTGCCATTATCGGACGCAGACGCTGGGGTCCCTTGGCCCAATGACAATGGAAGGCTCCCACTAAGTCCCGCTCCTTTTATGAGAGCTTCCAAGTTCCAAAGTGTCCTTAAAGGTGAGTGAGGGGCCATGAGTCAAGAGGGGGCTCAGGAGGGAGAGATGGGGTCACCCCACCAGGGGACAGAGCTTGGCACTGGAGGTGGCAAGCCGGGAATATGCTCTTAAGCTTTGGGACCAGGGAGGTCGTCTGCTAAAAGGGCTTCCTGACCGCTCCTGACCTACCGAGCTCCTAGAGCCCCGTTCCAGGGCCCAGATGTGGGAAGGGCTGGAAGCCCTGCCACTCGAGAACCAGGAGTCGGCTCTGCGGCCTTCTGGGCACAAAAGCCTCCTCAGAGTGGTTCGTCTAGTGAGGTCGTGGTGTGGGCTCAAGGGCCAGGCCAAGGGCTCCGCAGGCCGTGGGGAGAGGGGAGGCGGGAGGCCGTGTGGCCCTGTAGCTGGGACCAGCTGAAGGTTTGTGACTTCGACGCAGACACTGGGGTCCCTTGGCCCAGTGACAATGGAAGTGAAACCTAGTCAGGCAGGGAAGTGGACACGCAGGCAGGACTTCTGCGGGGACGCCCCTTAGGAAGGGAGACTCCGTTCAGGCGGGTGTCAGGGTGGCTCTCTGGTGAGCGAAGGGGCTGCTTTATTGGTCACGTGTAGGGGCGGGCAGGCTGGTTGGTCAGGGGCACCCAGTGGAGCCCCGGGCTAAAGGGGAGTCCGCAGCTGTTCTCAGGGTGCAACAGCACCCGACCTCAGCGGGGCAGAGCCCACTCTGGCTGGGGGCTCAGCCAGGCCCCTGGGTCTGCTGTCTGCCTGTGAGCCAAGGGCCTGTGTGGGCTTGCCCTCGCCCCTGTGTCCTGGTCTCACTGTCCCCACCTGCACAGGTGGGAGAGGCCTGTGGGAACTAGGTGGGCCGCACCTTCATCTCCGACATCTGGTAGCTGTAATTGTACCCCTTCCCCGTCTTCCAGTTGACGCCGTTGGCAAAGGTCTCGTGGTGACCCTTGAGGTAGAGGCCATTTAGGTTGGACAGGTGGCATTGAGAGTGCCACCAGGCTCCACGATACTTCTCCGCACAGTTGAAAGGGCTGATGTCATTGTCCTGGTCCTTGGTGGAGAAGAACCTGTTGTTGTGATATGTCAGAGAATCACCTGCGCGGGGAAAACGTGGGTTCTGTGGTGCTGGAAGCCGCCCTAGGTCCTCCCCGGCCCTGCCTCCTGCTCCCAGCCTGACCCTCACCTGAGCACACATGCTGAGGCCCAGGAGGATGCCCAGCCTGCCCAGGCTTGGGGAGGAGGAAACCACAGGTAGGTCCCCCGTCCCTGCAGTCTCGGCCTCCCTCCTGCATCCGCTGCCTGCTCCCCGCAGGGCTGCCCAGGAGCATCAGAGCTGTCCCCCTCCTGTGCCTCTCCCATGGACTTCTCCCCCACCTGCCTGGTGGTCCCCAGGGAGGCACAGCACAGCCCCCACATGGACCCACCCTGCTCCATGCTGGGCGGTGGCACCTCTGGCTCCTACCGGGGGCACTTCACCCACTAAGCCTTACCCCCTGCAGAAGGCAGTCTGCTCCCTGCCCACGGCCCTCCCGGGGGTCTCAGCTGACAGTGAGCCTGCGGAGCAGCCACGGACCCAGGCCATCCAGCACTGGGTCCTGTGCAGCCAAGTTGGCTTCATGCACAGCCATCTCCAGAGGCCGCAGGGGACTCCATGCACTGGGAACCCTCCAAACAGGTGCTCTGTGGGACATGCCACCCAGAGTCCTGTGGCCAGAGTCCCTTTGGAAAGGATGTCCCAGGGACATGTTTGGGAAGCAGGGATCCCAGGACCTATGGGAAATGACTGTTCTCTTCTGGGGTTCACCCGTGACAATGGGCAGTCACTCAGGCCCCCTCCCCATGGAGTGGACATGGCCCTGGAGTGTCAGCTGACTGCATCCTAGGCCCCACACTCCATAAGGACATGGGTCTGGCATCTGCTTTTGCAGGTGGGAAAACCAGGTTGAGTGGTGGCCCTCAGCTGAGTCCCCAGGGTAGACAGAGCCGGGTCCTCCCCACTCCCACTCCACTCTCAGCCTCAGCCCAGGCCCCAGGCGGACGCTCACCAGCACTGCCTCCAACAAAGGCTCCTAGGGTGAGCTTGTACTTCTCTGCCTCCCCCGCCACCCTGAACGAGCTGTACTTGGCAAAGTCACGGTTGCCCTCAAAGTCCACCAGGTCCACCCGGAGCTCGCTGGTTCCTGTGGGGATGGTCTGGTCTTAGCCCTCGAAATCTTTATGCCACCAGTCGCGAGAGGTCCCTATGTGGGGCAATGAGTGGCCAACGTCTGGACTGGGCAGTCAGAGGAAGCTGTCTTGGGCATGTCTGAGGACCCGGGGCCATGGGGGACCTGGAGTGGCCCCTGGCTCCTAAGCAGCCTCCCACCCCCACGGGTCGTGCTGAAAGGCCACGTGGGCCCTGCCCTGGGAGGGCACCGGGGCTGTGTGGGCAGGGGCTCTTGCAAGGACCTGGGGCACTTGTGTGGACACTTCCCCATGACCACGGGGCAGAGGGCAGGAGAAAGGGGCCTGGCTTCTTTCATTTGGCCACAGGGCAGTCAGGATGTGGATCAGAGCGGGTGGGAGAGCTGTGCTGCTTGGGGGCTGTCGGGCCACTGTCCTGGAGGCCACTGTCCCACAGGACAGACAGCAGGGGACACAAAGCCTGTCCCCAACCTCACTGTCCTTGTACCCCTTGATCTGGGGTTCTCAGATGCCAGTGGCCCACAATGGACAAGTGCCACCTGTGTCTTGTGTTCTGGGAGACCCCAACAGGGGGCACATGGCCTGGAATGTCACAGCTGAGCCCTGCCTGTGACCACACTGGACACCTGGGGTCATGGGGCTCCGGGCTTCTGCCCTGGAAGCCCTGGTCTGAGGGCGGGTCCTTTCTGTCCAGCCCATGGCCACCCTCGCCCAGCGCTGCCTGCCTACCCTGGGCGGTCAGGACCTGGATGTTGTCATTGCCCAGCCAGAACTCCCCCAGCTGACTGCCGAAGCCCTGCTTGTACGCGGCCCAATCCCGATAGAAGTCCACAGAGCCGTCGAGCCTCCTCTGGAAGACCTGGAGAGCAGCAGGGGACTCGAGGGGAGGCCAGGCTGACTGCCACAGCGCAGGGACCCCGGCCTCAAATGGGAGCAGGGACTGATAGTTCTCAGAGCAGCAGGCTGGAGCCCCGGGCATGCCGCGAGGTCTCATTGCAGATAACCCATGATGGAGGAAATGGAGGCTCAGAGAGGGTAGGCAGCAAGCTCAAAGTCACACAGCAGGAGGGTAGTGGGCTTCCTTGGGATCTCCCCCTATCGCCTGGGCTTTTACCCACAGGGGTCACCTCCCCGTCACTTCTCAGTCTCTGTTTCCAGTGAAGGAAGGGGCCGGAAGGCACCCAGGGAAATGGAATCCCACAGGCTCTGTTCTCCCACCAGCTGCAGAGCCTGGCCTCTGAGATTCTTAGGCCACTGCCTCTGCCTGAGGACCCCAGCGGCAGACTCACAGTCCATCCCCCACCGTCAGTGTGCATGTCACACAGCACAGTCAGGGGCTGGCAGCTGGACAGGTAGATGGTGTACCAGCCGCTCAGAAAGTGGCCTTGAGTGAGCAGCTCCTTACAGGTCCGAGGTCCTGGGAAGAGAACCAGGGGATCAAGTGGGATGGGGCCTGGGCGGGTGGGGGTGGGGTCCAGGAGGGGAGGCAGGGACGGCAGGCGTCCGCAAGGGCAGAGGAAGACTCCTATGCCAGGGACAGAGAAGCTCCCCAGGTCGCCCAGCTGTGCTGGCCTGGCCAGCCTCCTGACTGCCCCCTCCAGGACCACCCAGCCTCCTCCCCGAGCCTCCTGGCCCCTGGGGTACATCGCAAGGTCTTCCCGAGGTTGCCGTGGAGCGAGTCGTCCAGCCACAGCTGCCATGCGCTCGGGTAATTAAGGGAGTGAAGTGTCCGCTCTGTCCTGGGACTGTGGCTGTGTGTCTGCAGCTGGCCGGGGGCTGCTGGGCTCAGGCACAGGGCGGGTGGTGTGGTCACCTGTGGCACATGACTGAGGGTGCCCAGCGACTCCTGTTTGGGGAGAGGGACACTGGCCATCGGTGTGAAGCCACCGTCCCTGTCCCCTTCAGCTCCAATTGCTCCAGGAACACAGCAGAGTCTTTTCAGGACCAGCCAATCCAGCCCTGGCCAGTGGTCACTAGATCTGGCTTCTGTGGAGCAGGTGGCCCCACTGCTGCTTTCCTCGGTGGCCTGGTGACAAGCACCCTCCCTCTTCAGCCATTTCTTTGGGCCCCCATCAAAGAGCAGGGTGAGCTGGGTCCAGCCCGGTCCATCCCGTCTGCCTACACTGCACCGACTGTCCTGTCCTCGGGAGGGACGGCCGGCTGGGCTGGTGTCCCCGGCATTGGGACTCGGCTCTGTGTCCTCATCTTGCAGTATTTAGTTGTAGACAGAGCACATGACTATGTCTTAGAGTTTAGTAATTTTGCTTTTCCTGATTTTATAATTTTTTTTAAAAAGTAAGTGAGCATAAACAGGACAAGAGTTAAAAGCACTCAAACGTTCAAGTTCACACAATAGCACCATCTTCATCTTGCCAATCGCTTAGGCTGACTGTGGCAGACCCCGGGTGCCGGCAGCGGGCACTGGGAGGACCAACCGTGTCTGGGCCCCTGCCACCCTTCTGCTCCTTGATTGGACAAGGGGAATGTGGGTGGAGGCCCTCACCCACCCCCGGGGAGGCCATGGGGCAGCTGAGGCCCGGGAGCCCTGCCTTTTCCTGCCCTGGACAGAACCCGTGGGCACCCGGGGCTGAGGCTCACCTCTCTCTCCTGGCATCCCCTTCTCCCCGCGGTCTCCTGGAGACAGGCAGAGCATGAGATGCCGATGCTGGGAGCCCCCAGGCCCACGGAGGGGGGAGTAGCTGCCTGGGCACCGCGCAAGGGCAGGCGATGCTTGGGGAGGTTGGTGGAGGGCAGCGGCCAGCTGGGCAAATCCAGCCTCTGGCCCGGGGCAGCTCCCAGTCGTGGTCCTGCAGGGACTGCGGGGCTAAGGTGCTGGTGGGGCAGGCGGGCCCTCATCTTGCCTCTACCCCACCCCATCTTCCAGGCAGACGGAGGTCCTCTCAGCCCCACTCAGCTTGATCACCCTGTCACCTTTGGGTCCAGGTGGTCCTGCTTTCCCAGGGGCTCCGGAGGTGCCTCGCTCTCCTGCAGATTCCAAACACACCAGGGAAAGAAATGCCACCTCGACAGTTCTACCTGAGATCGACGCCCCGGCAACGAGCCTCGACCGACCCTCCCCGCAGCCCAGCGGTCCTCTGGACGGTCAGCTGGGGCTCAGCCTGGCAAAAGCTGCGAAGAACACTACTGAAGCCCACTGTTGCTGACCACGAGCTGGGGCCCCAGACAGGGCCTTCATCTGGCTCACAGTTGCTCTTGGGGTGCAACCTGGGTCCCACCCTCTGTAGATACAGAACCTGGGGCCACACAGGCCTCACAGAGCTGGGCTGTCCAGTGAAGCCTCAGTCCTGGGACAAGAACTGTACCCTCAGAGATCCTCAAACTAGGGGTCACCGCACAGAGAAGGGCAGGCCTCTCCCACAGTGTCCCATGTAGGAGGATGTGGCTCTGGGTCGCGCCCAATGCCCTGGACACAGTGGAGATGGTGACACAATCACACAGCCCTTCAGGGTGTTCTGACCAGAGGGGCCACCACAAGGCCTCCAGACCAGTGCTACCAGCATGTGTGGGTCCATCTCGGACAGCGGTCACACACAGGGTCTGACTGGGGCTGCCCACTCAGACCTCAGGCCTGGACACCCAGAGACTGTATGGGTCAAGCTTGGTCATCCACGGTGGTCCCATCCCCACTCAGTGTTGCAGGCACCTCCTTGAACACCTCCAGGCTTGGGGAGCTCAGCAAGGCAGCTCCCCGCTGAGCTTCCTGCGCCAGGCTGGGGCAGCGAGGCCCCCGCACAGCGTCTGCACCTGCGCTGCCTTGGAAGGCACTGCCCCGTGACAAGGGCTCGGACTGCAGCTTGAAGCTGGGACCCTGCTGTGCCCTGAAGCGGCCCTGGGTTGGCGGCTGTGCCACTCTCACTGGGGTATGAGCTCAGAAAGGACCCCCGATTTTGTCATCTAAGATGGGCTGAGAAAGAAGTGGACCCTGATCTTCAGGTGGGGACATGGAGGTGCAGGGATCGGGAAGTCTCGCTGAAGCCGAGTGAACCTGATAAGGATCCCGGCCTGGAAGCCGACCTGCTGAGACACTCAAACCTCGCGAGGTGCCTGGGGGGAGCCGCTCCTGCAGCGTTTTCAGAACCCAGTGGCAGTTAGCTTCGCCACTCACCTTAGCAGGGGCCAAGGCCAGGGTCGCCCAACCTGGCACCCAATGTCAGCAGAGCTAGAGTCGGTGCCCCTCTGCCCACACTGCCAGCCACCCACCGGCCGGCACTCACCTCTCTCTCCCTTGGCGCCAGCCTCTCCCTTGGGCCCTGAGAGGCCGGGCAGCCCGGGGCAGCCCCGGAGAATGGTGAGTTTGTCGGAGCCCTCCAGACCCACCAGCTTCACCTCTGCAGAAGAGCACAGGGTCGGGCAGGGTCGTCAGCTTGGCCTGAGGTGCCTGGACTCAAGGGCACCTGTCACCTCAGTGACGTCAGACGGCTGCTGCCAGTCTACCTGCTCAGCCGGAGGGCTGGCCTGGAAGCGAGCTCCCCTCCCATGGGGAAGTGGTGTGTCCTCGCTCAGGCTGGAGGTGAGGCAGAGGAACTCAGGGACAGCCCAGCTCCCCAGGGCTGTGTGTTATGGGGCTGGTCACAGCCCGAGAGCTTGGTTTCCTGGGCACCAAGGAGGATGAGCGTAGGGTGTGGCGTGGTCAGAGGGAAGAGTGCAAATAGAAGAGTGGTCACTGCCAGACTCGGGGAGGCTGGGAAACTGTAGATGGTAAAGAGTGATCAGCATTTCTAAGAAACAGGGAACTGGGTCAAGGAGACACTTTCTCTCCGGACCTCGGGAACTGAGCATGGGTGGGGAGGGGTCTCCTAGGTCTCTGGGGAGGGGGCACATCTGACCCAAGGACACAGAGCACAGCTGGAACCAGAGATAGTTTTCTTTGAAAAATATTGTTGTTGATTAGAAAGCAAATATGTCCTAGGAGGACATCTGATCCACGGGACCAGGGCTGTGCCTGGACATGGCAGTGGCCAGCTGGGCAGTATTCCTTCTGTCCTTCCAGCCTCCTCCCACTGGAGCAGGCTGCAGGCCACTGTTCTCACTTCTCCATCACACGCTATGTGTGGAGGAGGCTGCTCTGTCCTCAGGAATGACCTCCCCTGGGGGTAAGAGTGGTGATTGAGGCTCTTGGCCCCCAGCCCTGCCCAGCTCCGACCGGGACCCCTGCTCTCCCTACAGACTCCTTGAGGAAGGGGGCAGCCCCAGGATGAGGGAGTCTCAGGTGCCTCCCTGCCAAGAAGTAGGCAAAGTCCAGGGCCCTTCCTGCCGTCTCAGCACCACAGTCAAGCACTCCACAGGCTGCGCCCCCTGGAAGCGGCCTGCCCTCTGCCCCTCGACCTTGGGCATGCCACTCAGGGTCTCCGTACCTCCAGCACCTTGTCCAAGGAGGAAGTCAAGCTTCAAGTCTTTGTAAGAAGATGTGTGTAGAGGGACACTAGGTAGGTGGGCAATGAGTGGGTGGTCACCACTGGCAGGACCAGAGAGTGAGTCTGGCTCACCTGGACAGGTGTCTTCAGCCTGGACCGTCGGGTCTTTGACGTACAGCAACAAGACGAGCAGGACAGTGAGCCCTGGGGCCATGGCGACTCTGCTCAGCTCCGGTCCTCCTCTGTGACCTGGCAGAGGCCCCAGGTTTTATAGGCTGGGGCCACCCTGGCCTGGGCTAGTTTCCCAACTCCCCAGGGCTCACCCACTTCCTACGCGCCTGGGGCTCACAGCAGGAGTTATGAAATTAGGTCAAAGGATGTGTCCTTCCAGCCAGGTCCCAACTGGAAAGCAAGCTGCCCACCTGACGGGGCTCCCTTCCCTTACAAGGACACCCTGTTCCCAGAGAACTCCCAGGGTCCCCTCTGCTGGAAGGGCTTGTGGGCAGCTCCAGACCGCTCCACGGTTTGTGCAGGGAGAGGAGCAGGCCGCTCTCATGGCCAGAGCTACTCGACACGCTGGGATGGAGCCAGACTCCAGCAGGAGCCAACTCAGGGCTCAGCGTGTCCCCAGGCTTCCTGTGTTGGGATGCATCAGAAGGGACACCTGAGTCCACCGTGCAGTTCAGAGGTGAGGCTTTGGCAGGAAGTCGGATCAGGTAGTCATTTGGGTGGGGCCCAGGGGTGAGTCTAAGGGCTTTCTAAAAAGATGGAGAGTCCAGACCTGAAAGCACGCATGTACATGCACACACACACTCACACACACACACGCACACTCACAAACATGCACTCACACACACACTCACACACACTCACACACACACACACACACTCTCACACTCACACACACACTCACACACACTCTCACACACACACTCACACACACACCCACACACAAACACACACTCACACACTCACACACACTCACACACACACTCACTCACACACACAGAGTCACACATGTCCCTGTCTCTTGCCAAGTGATGCTCAGGGCCGGAAGCAGGCATCAGCAGGGCTGGGCTGTGCCTCAGTGGCACGTTTCAGGCCCTGATTTCCAGCCCAGCATCAAACACACAACTGTCACCAAATGTGCCTCCGGGTCTTGTGCCTCCAGAACAATGCGCCAAACAAACCTTTTCCTCTGTGACTCACCCCCTCTGTGCTGTTGGGATCCCAGCCACACAAGACGGACAGACGGGTGGCGTTCCAGTTGGGTCAGTGAGGGTTGAATCAGTGACTTCTGCAATGGCCGTCTAGGTGTTGGGGCTACCTGTCCCACTGAAGATGACCAGACAGAACATTAAAAGATTTGCTTGGGGTCACAGACCAGCCCGCCCAGCCCCAGGAGCCACAGAAACCCCGGCAACATGAGCCAGTTTGGAGGCCTCTCTGCCGTGAGGTTTGCCGGTCACTAAAAGACAGCTGGGGGCTGGGCAGTCACCCCAACAATATACGGCACAGGTCAGGCCTAGGCCTACAGAGGGCATGGACTTGGTCTCGGGACACAGGAGGGCTGCTCCTTAGGACTTGGGGTGCGTGGACAGCAGCCAGTCCTCTTGGGGACTGCCAGCTGCTTTTGAGACAGCAAGGTGTCCCAGGGAAAAACTCCACTCCTGGAGTGACCTTCAGGTCCTTACAGGGTGGTGGTGTCCTCAGGCTCCCGGGGAAACCGCAGGCTTCCTGAATGTCGGTGCTGCTGTTGGCTTTTCTTTCTTTTCATATCAGGACGTGATTGAATGAAGCAGTTCATGAGGAGGAGAAGCAACGCATCCCACGACCGTGGGGGACAGATGGGAAGCAGATCCGCAGGTGCTATGGGGACTGTCTGGGATGTGGCAAAGCAGCCACCCTCCGAGGAGGCTTGTGGCCACCTCCTGAGGAGACAGCCCATCCCGGGAGGCTGGGAGAGGTGGACAGAGCTGCCCTCCTCAGAAGACACGACTGACCCGTAGGCGGTTCCAGGGCTTCCAGGAATCAGCTGTCAGGATGAGCGGTTCACAAAACCCAGAGGTGCTTCTGAAACAAGTCACAAGGAATCAAAAAGGAGCAGTTGTAAACCTGCAGCACAGCCCTGAAGGCAAAGAGCTGAGGCTGGAACTAGGGCGCCCTCCATCCTCTGTGCAGGAAGCTTTCAAACAGGGACCAGGAGACCTAAGACCGGACACAGGAAGTCCAGCCCACAATCACGGGCAGTCCACGTGGCCCGGTGCTGATGACCTGAAGATTCACTGCATTATCGGTTAAATCCCCACTTTCTGGTGATGCTGGACAAGAAGAATTTAGCACATACGCGAAGGCAAGATGGCCTTGCTCAGGAGCAAGGGGCAGACGGCTCCACTCAGTGCAGAGCTCGCTACAGATCTGCAGGGATGGGACCACGGCCCTGGCACAGGCACACGCAGGCCCACGGAGCCCAGCAAGGGGCCCAGAAACAAGTCCAGGCGTGTTCTGACCTTTGGCTTAACAACAGCAGTGGCTGTGCCGAGAAATGGGGAAAGAATTAACTTTAACACATTCCAGGAACGAAGGGACCTTCCTATGAGAAAACGAGAAGTCAAGAAGTCAACTTGACTTTCATCATACAAAAAAACAAAACAAGAGGAAAAAAAAATCGATGTTGGGGGAATTACAAACCCCAATGTGGAGGTAGAAACAGGAGCTTTAGATCAAATTATAAGCTATCAAATAACTTCACAGGTATTTTATTCAGGACAGAAAATCACTAACCACAAAGGGAAAGTTTAAAAACTGACACAAAGATTAAGGACGTTTGTTTTTCAAAACACACCACCAAGAGAGTGGAAAGACAAGCCACAGGGGACAGAGATATTTCAACACAGGCGTGTGACAAATGACTTGTATCTGGAATAAAGATCCCTGTAAATCAGCCCTCTGCCGAGCAGAGATGGGCAAACAGGCCCCGGTGGACTCCAGCAGGCAGGAGGTGGCAGGGGGCGGAAAAAAGGGCTCCTGCCCAACTTCACATGTGACCAAAGTCACTGAAGTCACGGGAGCACACCACCCACACCACCTGCTCCACCAAGGGCAGGTGTGTCCAGGACAGCGCCGTGCACGGTTCTGGTGGGGATCAGAGGAAACTGGGGCTCCTGTGCTGGGCCGAGGACGCACGCTGGCCCAGGCATGTTGGAAGACCATCGGCGTCCCTTCCTACGTGGTCTCCTGTGACTCTGCTCAGCAGAACAGTGCCAGCCACAGAGCAGACACAGCGAGAAGGCCCAGCCCGTGATGGAGATGACCAGGATGTCCATCGGCTGCAGAACGGGCCCAGCCCGAGGCCAGTCCATTCCCAGGACTCCCCTTCACCAGTAAAATCCACCAATCCTAGCTTCCTGCAGAAGCTCCGTGGGAATTCACAAACGGAGGTTGAAGGAGACAAGACTGAGTGAAGAATGCCGACTATATAACTGTGTCTGTGTGACGTTCAGAGGGTGCAGGCCTGGAAGGGCTGCGGGGCTCGCCCGGCTGCACCCTTAGTTCCTGGTGTCCTCGGTGACCGGACGTCGCGTTTCACTTAAAACAACAACAACAAAACACAGACAAGAAACTAACAATAAAAGGGAGTGTCAGTAAGATGGATGTCCCCCGGCCCTGCGACCGCCTACAGTGGGCGTGGACAGCCTGGGAGGGTAGGCCTTGCCGTCCTGCCGCTTTTCTTGCTGTCATAAGCCAGCCAGGTCACCAACAGACCAGATACGTCTCTGTCCCTCCACTGCGTCAGAACTTACTGAATGAGTTAATCCTCAGGTGACACCACTCTCATCAGTGGCAGTGCAGTGGATACGTGTGGGTCCCTGGTGTCAGGCTGGGCAGTCACAGGGTCACTCAGTCTTGATTTCTACATCTGTCAGGCTCAAGTCACACAACACACTCTACACAACTATATGTACAGGCTACCGAGAGGCTGAACCGTGCGGCGGCCTCAGGCTTCAGGAGGCAGATAGCAGGTACAGATAGGGTCACCACAGGTGGTCGGATGAGATTAGAAACCACCGAGGACCTGTGCAGGGCGCAGGGCCATGGGAGCACAGGAACCTATTCTAGGCCAAGGTCCAGAGAGTGCCAGTCTCAGGTCAGCTTGGAGTGTCAGCCTGAGGTGTCAGCTTGGAGTGGGACTTGCATGGTCGTCACTGGCAGGAGAAACTGCTTTGCTGAAGCCCCTGACAGAGAACTGAAGGTTCATTGCTGTGGTGACATTCCTGGGTGAGGCTGTGATGAGTGACCAGGTGACAGGGTCAGCATGCTGCTGTGTCCAGGCTCAGGTGCCCCTCCTTCTGTGGGTCTCGAGTGAGGGGCTGCATCCTGAGGTGGTTCCACTAGCTCCTGGGCCTGATTTTTCCAATATGAGTTTGATACACCCACACATTCATGTGCTTCTGACTAATCTGTAAGTCACAGGTGGTCACTTTTACGAGCATGATCAATTTATTTATCAGCATGTGCCTTATGGTGGTGCCAGGCAGATGGTGGCTGTTGATTTGCACAAACAAGGTACAGAGTTCTTGCTCTGATTAGAGCAGCTCAGGGCAAACTGGGGCTTTATGAAATGGGGTGACTCAGGGTTAGGCTGAAATCAGCTGTTCTGTCCACCGTGGAGTCACAAAGGGAAGGGCACAGCCTGAGAGCTGCTGTTCTAAACACCATGGAGTCACCCAGGGCAGGCTCAGCCTGAAGACAGCTGTTGTACACACCATAGAGTCACTCAGGGCAGGCGCAGCCTGAGGATTGCTGTTCTGTACACCATGGAGTCACCCAGGGCAGGCTCAGCCTGAAGACAGCTGTTGTACACACCATAGAGTCACTAGGGCAGGCACAGCCTGAGGACTGCTGTTCTACACACCATGGAGTCACTAGAGCAGGCACAGCCTGAGGACTGCTGTTCTGTACACCATGGAGTCACTAGAGCAGGCACAGCCTGAGGACTGCTGTTCTACACACCATGGAGTCACTCAGGGCAAGCGCATTCTGAGAGCTGCTGTTTTGCACACCATGGAGTCACTAGGGCAGGCTCAGCCTGAGGACTGCTGTTTTGCACACCATGGAGTCACTAGGGCAGGCGCAGCCTGAGAACTGCTGTTCTACACACCATGGAGTCACCAGGGCAGGCTGATCTGTACACCATGGAGCCATGCAGAGTTGGAAACAGCCTAGAAACTGCTGTTGGATGCCTCATGGAGTCACTCAGAGAACACAGCCATTCTCCACACGTTCTCTGACTTCTAGGAGGCTGACCACTGACCACTGCTTTCTCTGGCTCCATGTGCTAGATCTGCAGCCTGAGATGAACCTCAGAAGTGTGGTGGACAGAGGAAGTGGTCCTTCATCTTGGGCTGTGCCCACACGCCCAGGCCACCCACAGTTGGTGGGACTGAAACTCCATGCTGTAAGGGGGACTCTCTGTTATTCAGTGAGGTCGTGCTGTGGTCACATGAAATAGTGGAGCCTGGTGTCCCCGGCCACAGGAAAAGTGCTCTGTCTGGAAGACAGGGGGTGGCAGGTGGCCGTGTGGATCCTGGGAGGCCTCTGGCTGCACCCTCCTCCTGTGCTCACAATCAGGCCACCAGTGGGGCAGACCCTCTCCTGGACCTGGTCATCTTTGGGCCTGGGCTGCTCCTCCAGGCCTCTGGGACGCTACACCTTGAGAATGTGCCCTGTGGGACCCCCTCCTCTCTGGGGCCTGTGTGCATGCCCTGGCCTGGGCTGTCTGGAGGGCTGTGGGAAGGGGAGGCTCACGTGGCTGGACCTGGCTGGGGTTCTGCACACTGGTCCCCTAGGACGCCTTTGATGACTGTGTGACATTCTTACCTGGAACCCTTCTGCTGCCAAGTCCAGCCCAAGAGAGCAGAGTCCACCGAGTTTCCTCTCCCCCAATTTGTAGATGTTTTCTCTTTGGGGGAGAAGAAATCAGGACTTACTCTTGATGATGCTGGGTGTCTCCACACCATGGGGCCCTTCTCCCCAACCGCGGGTCACCCCCCATCCTGCTTGGGGTTTCACTGGCCCTCCTCCAACCTGGGCTCACAGGTGGCCTACTACCTCCTTCTCTCTCCCCAGAGGCCTGTGCTGCGCTGGTTCTGGGTGGGGGGTCCCACCATCCCGAGCCTCTGGGGAACCTCATGTCACATGCTTGCAGGAGCCTGGCCCCATTCCCACCCAAGATTATTCCTGGACCAGTCCTGGGGAGAGAGGCCTGAGGATCCCTCCTCCTGGCCACGTCCACTTTGTCCAGAGAGGCAACATGGAACAGCGGGTGCTCAGGGGGGCGGGGGACAAGAGATGGCACTGCCACTAGGGAAGGCAGCCTGGCAGCTGTGGGGACAGCTAGCATTCCACGTCCCAGGGGAGGCCACGGGAAGTGAGGCCCCTGGGCACACACCCACTCTCGTCATGGATAATTCTCCAGACCCAAAGCAGGAGCAGCCTGCAGGCCCATCCCTGGTGAATGAGCAGGACACTAGCAGGTGGGCTATCACCTGGCAGGGGGACCTTCAACCCATGAGATGAGCCAAGCCACAGGTGGTGGGGCCGTTCCCACCAATGTCCACAACAGGCAGATTCACAGAGAAAGCAGACCAGGCCTGGCCAGGGCAAGGGGGAGGGGAAAGGGTCCAGCAATGACAGGCCAAGGGTCTGGATGGGTTTCGAGGTCAGGACTGTGTTCTAGGCCTGGAATGTTCTGGTGGCTTCACAACTCAGAGAGTCCACCAAACACCACTAACTTGTCCACCAAACACCGCTAACTTGTCCACTTCCAGAGGGTGAATTTTATGGTCTGCAAGTTACATCTCAATAAAGCTGTTAAAGAAAAAGGATTCCAGGGGGATTATGAGGGGTGGGCTTCCCTGACTCCTGGGATCCAGCCCAGGGCCCCTGGACACTGGGCAGGGGGCTTGAAGGAAGCATCATGGGGCCCGAGAGAGTCCACTCCTGCCGGAGGCCTGGCCTCTGCCTCCCACCCTCCTTCCCTTCCTGCCTCCCCTCATGTCTCCTGGGTCTTGAACCTCCTCCTTGCCAGGACCCCACAGCGGGTAGTGGCGATGACATTAAAAAGCCCCTTCCCAGCTACAAAATACTCCAAAGTGCTTAGCGGCCCTTGGGAGCAGCAGAGGGTGAGAGCCAGGACCTCAGGCGCATTAGCCACAGGAAGGAAAAGTCCCTCTTGAAGCTTCCCCGGGGTCAGCCAGGGCCACAGGACAGAAACCCCCAGGGCTCTGGCAGGAAGCTTCCTCCTGCCGAGGCCCCTTTTAACTTCCCAGAGATAATGCAGTGCAGAGTACCTGCCAGGCACCTGAAGACAGATGACCAGTGTTTGCCGGGAAATAGTTTGTGTCAGAGCAAATTGGAATTTATATCTCAGGAGGCAGGTAATCCCCTTTAGAGTGCTCCAGCGTCCCCAGGACGAGCGGGCTTGCGCAGGGCTGGCGGCTCGCTGAAGACAGACAAAGCCGTGCGCCTCCGAAGACCCCTGCTCGCCCAGTCCTACTCTGGATATCTTAATTGAGTCTGCAAACCCTAGGACACCACGGAGAAAACAAGCCTCACGATGTCCTCTTCCAGCTCCGCACAGGATCAAGGTCGTGTTCACCTTCGGGAAACTCAAGAAACAAAGCAGGGAAGGAGTTGTCTTCCTGGGGGTTAGTTTTGTGTTATGCTTGTTCTTGTTTAGTTTTGTGTATATTTTTAAAGCTTGTGAACAGAGGAGAAAAATCCAGGGGCATGTTCCCACTAAGTTAAACTAGTTGTTCTTAAAATCCCAAATCCTTCTACAGCTTTTTATTCCCAAGGACCAGTACACAATCTGCTTTGCTCTTGATTTAAACATGCTGACAAGCGGCTGCCGGCTCGCCTGCGCGGCGCGAGAGTGGATTGGGGCTGTCATATATAATGCATGAGACGGGGAGCCGCGGATGCGGGGAGCGGGGACGGGATCTGCACAGGACTCGAGGTGATCTGCGTGCAGCTCTGTGCCCAGAGTCACTGTGCAAACATATTTACCCTGCATAAAAGAAAGGGATGAGTCTGCGCAGGACGATTGTCCACCGGAGTGGATTTAATTTCTAAACCTGCATTAGAGCAGGATTAACCTTGCTGAAGGGTACCGTGACGTGGGCAGAATGTATAAAGCTAACCCCGGGTCCGCACAGCCAGAGGAGGAGCACTGGATGGAATTAAACATTTATTGCACATAAATGCCTTCTCTGCAGCCTCCCTCCTCCCTGCCCAGTCACCTCTGTGTTGCAGGTTCTCTGCTGGTGGAGCAGGACACAGGCCCCTGGCTCAGGCCTGACCTTATGCTGCTTTCTGCATCCTCCCAGCATCCCTGGTCCTGGTCCTTCTGGTGACAAGAGACAGCTGTGGACAGGGGCTGGGTTTGCAGGCTCCCATAGGCACAGGCACGTGTACGCAGGTTGAAACACGGTCCCTGCTAGGGTTCTCTGCCTCTATGGAGGAGAGATCTCTGGAAGGCCGAGAACCTGGCCAGGAAACACATTGCCTGTTTCCTGTTCTGTGATTGGGAGGCACGCCCTGTGAAGAATCCCAGGGAAGGCTCTGATTGGCCGTTCATCAACCAATCGTCACAGCTGAGGAGGAGGAGAGCGGATCCTGAGCCCCAGGCAGCACTGTGGGAAATGGAGGTGGAGCTCAGGCAGGCTGTCTCCCTTGGTCAAGGTGTGAGCAGTGAGTGTCCCACATCCCAGGAGACCCTGCAGTTCTGGGCACACCAGAATGGTTGGTAACTGTCTGCTCAAGAATCCACCTAGAAATTTCCAAATCTGATGAGTGAGTTGGGCAAGCAGGTTGTAGCCTATTTCTTATTTCACCACAAATTGTTTCAATAACAGACATTTCAAAAGGAACAACAAATAAGAACTGAAACAGGGTCACAGAACATCTTGTGGTTTCCTTACCGAAACACGAATCCTCAGTTCCTCGTGTGGTTCAGCCGAAGCTGCCTTGGGGGAACTCCTGCTGCCCCAGCCCCATACCAGAGGCACGTTTCTCTTTGAAGCGCTGCCAGGGATACACCTGGGGCACTTGGGAATCGGCTTCAGGTCTTTTCACTCCTCCAGATGGATCCCTGACACTAGGGGCATCTGGAGAGTTTCAGTTTCTTTCCCTTTGAGCAGGAGGACAAGGCCCGAGCCCCTGAATTGCCCCATGACCTGCACAGAAGAGCCATGACGAGGACAGAGCTGGTGGTGGGAAGGACCCTGAGGGACTGACTCTGACTTGTCCTGTGCTGGGGCCTTGGGCCACCTGGGCATGGTCATTGCAGAGCAGGTGTCCGCAGCTAGCAGAACCACCTGGGTTTCATCCACCCTGATGTAAAAAGTATCCACAGTGATATAATGAGAGATGACATCCTTCGAGGACATGGTGGGATTGTGCTAGTAACCAAATCACCTTACTTCACCCTCCTGGGGTGGGGGGTCTCCTTCATTCTCATTTTACATTTGATGACACTGAAGGCCCCTGGAGGAGGTCACACAGCAGACCCTGGGTGTGGGTGAGCACTGGGTGCACGTGGAACAGGGGCTTTGCAGGAGGAAGATTCTTGCTTTCTCTGGACACGGACCTCTGTCCCCAAGGTCACCCCCGACAACATCCTCCTAGGATACTCCCTGCTTGAGGCTCAGCTCTCAAATCAGTCCTGCTTCCTCCAATCTTCTCTCCCTGGTTTGGCTCAGCTGAGAGGATGTAAAAACTATGTGAGTAAAATAATCTCCATGCTTGTAAGCTCAGCCCGGAAGGGAGGGTCTTGTTCTGCGTTCCCTTGCTTCTGAACATGCTTCGACTACCAACTGGATAATCATGTCGGGGAAATGATCAATTAAGTTAGGACATTTCCCCATCCCTGCCTGACCAGCCAGCCTCCCTTTCCCTCTGCATTCACACACCCTGAAGAGCAGAAGGAATGGGTGGGAAGCGCTGGGCTGTGGGAATGTGCCCAGCCCTACCCTTCAGTGTGGACTGGGTTTGTTCTGGAGTCGGAGCTTAGGCGCAGCTGCAACAAAGAGAATGTCCAAGAGCCCGGGGCGTGGCCCTCTGAGGCTCCTCCCGGCTCTCAGTGGGGCTGCTGAGCACCTGCTCTGGGACAGCCATGGCCCCAGCAGGAACCAGGCAGGATTGCTCAGGTGCCCACTGGGCCGGGGCCGCTCAGGGCTTTCCTGCTTGCTCTGTGGCTGCAGATCCATCCCAAGCCTGATCAGGACAGGGCCCCTGCCTGAGAGGTGGGATGCTCTCCCGCTGTCTGGAGGCAGGGAGGGCAGGTCCCTCATGGTGCGCAGAGGGCAGGATTGACCGTTTTGCTTTGCCTTGAGGCAGAGGAGGGGGAGGGAGGATCCTGAGCTCCAGCCAGCACTGTGGTTGCTTGGCAGAGGGGGTCAAGCTCAGGTTCCAGCTGTCACCCCCACTTGCCAGGTCAAAAAGTGAAGGCTGTATCAGGAGGCCGTGTGCTAGTCGCCACCAGAATTGGAGTCACCACGGAGCTCAACTCTGGAACTCAAGCTGGAACCGCGTGTGCCACCTGCCCGTGAGGTGCCAGCCTGCTTCTCTGCCCTCCACCTCGTTGTTCCTGGAAGGAGGGCCACACACTGGAGTCACATGTGCTGTGGCCCTGGAGAGACTGCTGACAGCCCCCGACCTAGAGGTGTCCAAGCACCTGGGGAAGCTCCCCTGGAACTGGTGCTGGGTCAGGCTGGTGAGGCCTCTCCAGGTTGTGCTGAGCCTCAACTGCCTCACCCCAGGGGAGGAAAGGCCCTCGACACCCCCAAACACCTCTACCCAGTCTGCCCCCTGGCTACAGGTCCATCCGTCCGACCTCAGTGCCCAGGAATCCCCCTCCTCCCTCCCCTCCAATGCTGCCTCCAAGGTGGAGCCTGGGAGGCCCCTGTGGGTCCCCGCTGGCCCCCTCCGAGGCCTGCCCCTGTACTGCACTCACAGACTGGGTCTGCTCTCCTGAGCAGGCCCCTGCAGCCCTGGCCCAGGCCTGGGTAAGCTGTGGATCCACAATGACTGTTGGGGAGTGGACAGACGGGGGTGGGGAGGCTGTGTCAAGAAGTCCTTCCATTCCTCCCACGACTCAGGGACTTGATTTAAGACAGGTCTTGCTCTCAAGCAGTGACCAAACCACCATAGGCTGGGAGAGGACAGGGACCTGGCGGAGTGGCCACCTTGAAGATGCTCCCAGGCTTTGGGGGAGAGTGGAGCAAGCACCAGTTAGAGCCGGTGTGGTGAGTCCCCAGAGGAAGCCCTGGTGTGGGCAGCAGAGGACAGATGTGACCAAGGTGGGGCTTGGACCGGGCCATGGCTGGGTAGGGGTCTGAGCAGTCTGGCTGCTGGCCCGTTCCTCCACCACGGTGCTGGGCCAGCAGCCAGGGCGTCCTCTGGTTTTGCCGCGTGGGCTGCAGCTCAGGTGTGCGGGCGCCAGGGGGACTCTGCTTGCTGTTCTGCTGAACGCTGCTCCTGCACACCATGGTAAACGGCGTGGTCTTTCAAGGGTGTCCAGAGACCAGTGGACACTGAGCAGGACTCCACGCTGGAGAGGCCTCTCATCAGTGGACACACGGGTCCAGGTTGAAATGTTTTTCTCCAATTGCATTTGGCACTGAATGGATTGAAGCCCCTTGGCCTGGTGGCCTGTCTCGAAGTTAACCCTGCATGCTCCACATGGGTCACACTCAGCACAGGCTGCAGCCACCTGCCCTCTGCAGGGAGAAGCAGCATCGCCTGGGTAGAATCTCTATGCCTGATGGCCTCAGGGCTCTGTGTGGCTAGGAAGAAGGACCCTCGTCCTTGCTGCTGTGCGTGCCCACGGGGATGGCAGCTACACAGGATACAGAGGTGGCAGCACCCTCACACCAGGCCACAGAGCCCCCTGTGGCCTCCTGTCCACAGCAGCTCTGTGGGCAGCCCACGTGTACCTCCCGAGCAGCCCTGTCATGGCCCCGCCCTTACCTGGAGTGGTCTGTGTGGGTTTAGCGTGTATTTACTGAGCACTGACCCTGGGCCTGAACACAAGGGCAGACCCCCACCCCCAGGAGCTTACTTACCTTCTCCTGGGTCGGGTGCAGAGGAGAGGCACGTGGCTGTGCATTGTCAGGTGGAGATTAACGTTTGCAGAAAGGTAAAGTGGGGTGAGGGGACAGAGGAGGACAGAGGGCTCCACCTCACACAGAAAGGCTGAGAACAGCTTCGACCAGGCAACACCAGAGCAGGACTCAGGTAGGTCCTATGATCTTACCCCTGTATACGATCCTTGCAGCTGCCCAGTGGACAGAAGAACAGGCTCAGAGAGGGTGAGGAGCCAGCCCAGGGGTGCACAGTGTCGATGGCAGGAGGAGAGACAAAGTCTTGTCTATTCCAGAGCCCTTTTCTCCACCCTGAGTGGATGAGCCAGAAGACCTTAGAGGTGGCCACACAGAGGAAGTAAGTGCACAGAGAGGACAGAAAGCGTACGTCCCCATACACTGGCAGGCGGTGTGGCTTTCCCTCTTCTTCGTATTGCTTCTCCTTAACTTTCCAAATTTGTTGCCGTGGAAATTTGTACCTCTAATGACCAGGTAAGAGAGAAAGAAAGCAGGCAAGCCATCTGACCCATGTCAGAGCAGCTTAAATGTCCCCTTTTTAGGATAGGATGGCTGGAACGATTTGGAGTGACCGGCATTTCTGCAAGTGCCGACAGGAGTTGAAAGATGTCCACTAAGTGCACTGGGACCCCCACCCCCACCCAGGCAAGTGCCCTGCGGACCTTCTCCTCCAGGGAACTGGAGGACCCACACGCCTGACGGCAAGCTCTCAGATAAGCAAGAACCGGTGCCCAGGGGTCACCACCTGAGGCTCAACAGGGCCAACCCCCGGCCCCCTGGGAGAGAGACTGGAGGTGGCCCTGAACTCCCAGGACCAGCTGGGGGCTCAACCCAGGTTCAGCCCTGCCCTGCCCTGCCCACTGTGTGTCCTGTCGAGGGGCTGGCTTTGGAGGAATCAGGATGGAGTCCTATGTTTTAAATCCCCACCTCAGAGCTGCTTCTGCCTCTCCCCGCTCCGTGCTCTGGAGCGGGGACGTCTCCATCTGCCTCTGCATCTTTTGTCCTCCCCCTCCCGAGCACCCCAGGCTCTCTGCTGCTACAAAGGGGCTTTGATTCTCTGCCGAGAATCTGGGCCACAGGCTCCAAACGAGACCGTTCCTC